CTTGAAAAAAGAAAAGATTGCGACTTACGCAAAATATCAAGAATGCTGTGGTCACGCATACCACATATATTCAATTTGCCAAGTGTGGAATGACGAATAGAAGTGGTAACATTCGGACAAACAAATACAATGTAATCAGGAGATTGTAAGACTTTACATACATACATGTATAAAGGGTTGTTTACTATATTGTTAATTTTCAATAGATTATCACTACATCTCGTGTGGTTGAACATCAGTCTGTTAATAAGACAAATAATACCACGCCTGAGTCTGCAACAGATAAACCAAGAGCCTTTATTTACGAATCTATAGTGTGCTATATAAGCGAACAACACATCGGCTTCATGGGTTTCCGGTTCATTACTCATAAATTGTAATAAATACGCGATAAAACGTCCACGCATACTTTACAAAACTAAAATAAAAATTCACGCTCGCGCAATAAAAAAGAATATGTAAGTTATGCTTTCTCGTTTTTCGGTCACAGGCGCATATAGTTTTCGCATTTATTTTTAATTAGATGTGAACTGTCACATTTCAGACGCGCAGTAGGATAACTTCGCAAGTATTCACTTGATCAGTAGGAGTTGATACAAACTGTGGAGCACTGTTTTTCTCCTTTTTACGGTTTAAGGGTAATTGCATCAGATGAGCAAGTCCAATTTGCCTATTATGGAATCTCTTTTACCTAACACTTTTTTCTGAAAAGGGGGAGGGACAAGAAAATGCGGGAAGAAATTAAGTTACTAATTTCAATGCAGTCCAACAACTTAAGAAGTAGATGAGTTTTTCAAGCTGAGACAATTAAAAAAATATTTATCTTAAAAAAAATATAAAAACAAAATTTTGCTATTGTTTGAAATTACGTTTATCCTTCCTCCCCTAACAATGCCTTCCGGCTTATTTTAATCGTAGAGGATACAAAACTTTCTGAGATCATTGTGATTTATTTGATGTAAACAATTTTTCAAAGCACGATTTATTAAATGTTCTCAGCACTAGCAGACTGACAAGGATGTAGCGGGGATTTCTCATTCAACGTCGTTGTCGTAAAATCAATATTAAAAATGTAAAATGTTCCTTAAACACACTTATCTAACGTTTTAAGGCGGATTCTGCATTGCTTTAATGCATATGGTTCGTTTGGTGGAAGAAAGTTATTAAGAAGTACTCTAGTTACGATGTTCCAATAAAAACTGGAAGTCTATACTATATATAAAAGAAAAAGACTTAAATAATTTCTCCTTTCACATTTGAGAGAATACTTATGTAAAGACTTGTGTAGAATACAAATTATTTCAAAGTTTAATAAAATATTTAAATGAGTTTTTAATGAGTGATATAATCATAAATGAATGAATGATATGAAATAATTATATTTTTATGGGAATTGAAATCTTTAATGGCACAACGCAAAGACATTAAAAAGTCTTTTTTATTCTCACTAAGTTTAAGAAGAGAATCGTTTTTCCATAGAATAGTAAAGCAACAGGAATAAATTGCTTTTACCCAAATCACTATAGACAAAAGCATATGTTTACCTATACATAGGTATATCCACATAGGTATATATATATGTATATATCTAGTATATATATATATATATAGATACTATGTAGTTATTAGTAGAGCTAAAATAAGCTCACCCCTAATGCCTCTGTGTACAATTAAGTTGCAATAAACCATAAACATCAGCTTGAGCTATAAAACCGATAACACGTCGAGAATACTAACCATGAAATGTTGAACCGAAATGAGTACTTGCACATATAGTTGCTGTTTACACATATATATATATATATCCGTGTACGTTTGTATGTAGGCGTAAAAGGCATATTTGCCAAATACTAAAAAGTTGAAAGAAATCTAAATGGTAAAAGCATGATGGCTGTTCTCACATAAAGATACATGTTTAGTCAGGTCTAATAGAAGGCATTGGCAATATGTGTACGTTTACGTGTTTGACTGCATTCTATACAAAATTCAAGAAAAGAACTGCGCACTACACGGCGTATGAATAATCAGAATTTTTAAGTACTTCGTAATTGACGACTTGTGTGGAGACGTGTGAGTGCCTGCACATATGTGTGTGCGAAAAAATTAATGAAAGAACAACAGATGCTACCTACTGTTTATTTAAACAGAACAATCAGAGTATGGCACCGACACAGTAAAAGAAATATATATACAACGCATACAAACCTCGTACGACTAGTACGGTTTCGTATGGTGTATAAAGACAAAATATGAAAAAAACAAAAAAGTTTGAGTAGGCATTAATTAAAAATTACTTATACGCACTGGCGTAACATTTCCGTACAGGCATTTTAAGTACATGTATATATATATACATATATATTATGTCTGTAGAATACTATTGCTACTACTACTACTACTACTACTACTACTACTACTACTACTACTACTACTACTACT